GGTCGCAAGCATTTTCCTTGCTCTATTCCTGGACATGGCCCTGGAGCCCGGCTGACTGCAGCAGCAGGGAGTGCTGCTCTCCAGGAATACTCCCTTGCTCTGTTGTGCCTAAGCTGTCATTTCTCACTTGCAGTCCTACCCTAATTCTCGCTCTTATTAATGCTGACATCCTTCTCAGGCATTCCTCCCTGCTCCCAGCTTGTCCATGTTTAGGCCTTTTTAACCTTCTGTGCAGATCAGTCCTTTGCAGTTCTATGAATAAATAAAAGCCTTCTGTTCCCATCAACAAAATGGTCTTTTAACAGTTGCAAGAACAACACAGCAATCATTTCAAAGAAAAAAAAAACCCAACAACTAATATTTGATGCATTTTTAAATCTCCAACTATCCTCTGCCTTTTAAAAATATGTGCCTTGCTAAATGAAAAACAGAGAAAATTACTGGGGAGCACAAGGCAGCAGTAGGTGTGTGAGAGGGACCTGCTAACCCATCGCAAATGCTCACCACACACAACATAGCAGTGGGTCTAAAAATGAAAGCTGAACTTCAGTTAGAAATATCTAAGGAATAAGAACAAGCCGTTAGAGCTGCAGCCCTTCCCTTTGCTTTGATCTGGCATTTCACATAACTTAAGACCAGGAAATTCAGCAGCTTCAAAGTGGGTTAAAGAGTAGAAAGGTGCCATGTGCCAAGACAGGTGGAGGTTTCATTCTGCATGGAGAGAGAGGGTATTTTGAGGGGCTGTCCTCAAGCAAATCTAAAGGCTAAAACTGCTTGTGGTTAGGGCTAAAAATCTCACCTTCCTTCCTCGTCTTCTTAAAAGAAAGCCACGTTTCCATAGGAAGGACAGCAAGTCCAAGCGAGAAGGGGGGTGGCACTGCTGCTATTGGAAAGTGTAAGAGAGAAGTGAATATGTTTTTGTGACCCTTGCATCTTGGACATGTTTTTGTAATGGCTATTACTGACACTTGCTTTTGGTCTTGAAACTGTGGTTGTTTGGGGTTCTGGCCGTATAAAGCTGCTGAAGTGTGTAAGAGCTCAGCAAATGAAACGTTACAGGAAGTGAGAGGAGAGGGATGGAACACCATGTGCTTTAACAACCGAAAATGCTTGGTAAAAGAAAATGAAACCACATTCTCTATCCTTTACTTTTATTTTCTTTGGCTTTTAGCTTTACAGACTCTTAAAAATACTGCATTAAAACTAAGGCTAGTTTCCCAGGCTGCTATCTATTCACTGAAGAATTACAATATCACTCCAGTTCGATGATTCTCCCATGGGAAATCCTTCTAAAAGGGCTTTCCTAAACTGATTGCCAGTAACCTAATAAGTGTTTTTCTGTCTCTTTCTATCAGAATCTTGAATTAGCTTGCATTTCCAATTACAGTTTGTGTCAGAGATAATGCAGAAAACCTATCAACTTATAAATAAAATCATTTCCATTCAAAATAGGCTGCAGGAAGATGTCCAGAATCATTGATGTGAAGGCAACCTCACAGATGTGATGCCAAAATAAAATAAAATAAAAATATATATTATTGAAAATGAAAGGTGAGACTTCATTTCAAAGAAGCTAAAACTCACAAAAATGCAAATCATCCCAGGAACCTCCATGAAGCTGTACTCCAAGTGAACTCAGAAACCCTTGGAAACAATTACCTGCTTATAAGCTACATTACCACATAAGAAACTACAAAAAATAAGATATAATAGAACAAAGAAATAGCATTTTTCTCTTCTGTGGAGTCGATATAAAACAAAGCAATTTAATAATATTATGTGCAAGAGAAGGTTAAGAGGTCTGGAATTAAGTTTTCATGACTACTGTGGGATGTTTCAAGCAGAGCAGTCTCTGTATTACTTGGCCTTTCTATGAAGTATCCGAAAGAGTGAATGCACAAATAACATATCCTGGGATATCCTTAAAACCCTACAATATGAACAGAACTGAGACAGCAGTATTTTTCACGGTCAAAATTAAGACTCTGATTTGGGTGAATCTTGTCACTCTATGTAAAGTGCGAACCTTTTGACTGCAGCCTTGTGTAACAGGAAATTGTGGTGTGGAGCTGCCTCCAGCGAGATTCAGAAACAGGGGATAAACATTTAGAGAATCAGCAGTGTAAGTGGAAATTAATTTTCCTTTTTTTCACTGAAGGATAGACACCACATACCCCAGGCAAGTCATGCATACTACAGCATTAGGAGCTTCCTAACTCACCTGAGAAATCTTGCTAGCCACACTGTGGAAATGTGTTAACAACTGCAAGGATAACGTGATTGCCTCAGAAATTTTAGTCATGAGTATTGCAAATCAGAATAAACGTCCAGATGAGATAATCTGCACCAAGATCATAAGACTGAGAATCATGGCGAGAGTTGGGGAACAGAAAGCAATTATTTTGCTAGTGCAATCAAATTACTAAGGTTACCCACAGATATTTAAAGAATAGCTTGGCTATAACCTGTTTCCACCAGAAGAGGTTGATCCTCACTGCTTACTTATTTGGGTGCAAATATTGTTTTACAGAGCCTAAAACACATTAGCTGTCTTTCTAACTTGCCCTGTGTCTAATTTCAGTTAATTTAGCTTCTTTGTGTAGTACAATTGAGTTTCCATTGTTCTGCTTTCAGGTTCCTCTTTTCCCTCTCCCTGCTGCTGATAAAGAAAATCAAACTGAATTTACTGAAAAATACTGTGATCTTGACGGGAAGAATAGAGTTATTAACTGGCATTAGCAACCTGAACTTTACTAATGGTAATAAAGCAATTAATCCAGCAACATTAGTCTACAGAAAAAAATATAGAATATTTATGCTCCTCTAGCGAAAAAGATATTAAAAGAGAGCAAATAAATGCCTTCTTAAGGAGCACAGTAATGTCTGACAAGAACCTCCACTTTGAAAGCTATTCTTCATCTACAGATGAGGCATTTTGCCTAACAAATCTTTGCCATAAAATACAGAATGTTAGTGCTTCTTCTGCATGTGTTACAACCAGAGAATCACAGAACCATTCTGGTTGGAAAAGACCTTCAAGGTCATTAAGTCCAACCATAAGCCCTCAGCACCCTGCCTGCTAAACCGTGACCCCAACTGCCTCGTTACATGTTTCTTGAGCCCTGCCAGGGATGGCGAGGCCACCACTGCCCTGTGCAGCCCGTTCCACTCTTCACCACTCTTTCCATATGGGAATTTTTCCGAATACCCAAGCTGATAGTTCCTTAAGTATTTTTAATACAGCTACATAAAGCAGTTACTAAGTTTTAAGGGAACAAGGAACTAAACCGTGCACGGTAAGCGTGCACAGCGAGCACCCAAAGTCCCGTGCAGGCCTGAGGGGCCGGGGCTCTGGCATCTGAGCAATTTGTGCAGCCTGCAGCTGGGAAAGATTTTGCATAGCTTCCCTGTGGTCTGTTAACATCAAGTTAGGTGGCAACAGCAGCAGCAGAGAGGGCAGCATGTGACCACTGCTGTTTTTCTCGTGACCACTGCAGTTTTTCTCATGAACTGTATGCCATAGAGAGAAGCAAAGAGGAATTGAGAGACCCTCCACTGGGGTTACTGCACACGAGACCTGAAAGGTGTCCTGCCAGACTAGGTCTAAACCATATGGGAAGGAACAAGCCAAGGCTTACAAAAATTGTCCCTCTATGAGCGCTCTAACTGGGTCAATTACCACTGTAAAGAGAGCCCTGTATATTACAGATGATCAACTCCCCAGAAAATCACAATTTTTACCTATTTTAACTGAAAGCTGTCCTGAGGATCAGGCACTTGCTTCTTCAGGGAGAAGGAAGAGTTAATTTCTGCAGTGCTGTGAGTGAGGAGCAGTTATGGGAACTGATGTGACTGGATGCAGCGAGGTTTCTGCCTCTGCTCTTAATGACTAAATGGCACAATGTCTCAAACGCTCCACTTGCTAGAGCGTGCAGACGAGAGGGATGCTTCAACTCTTTGAGACCCAGGGGCAAGTTTCAGGCTGAGTTTCAATCAAGTGAAACCTTCCAGTGTGAGTGGAGGATCTGTTAGATGGAAATTAGAATTACGCTGAGATTCATCCCACTTCACCTGGCAGCTCCTGCTTTGACTTTACCTTTTGTCCACTGTCACCTTTGATTGATTGATTTGGTTTGTTAAATTCTAGAGGGACTCTTGCAGGAGGACAGGAATCCACAAGGGCAAAAACCAGACTTCCAAGTACATGGAAGGCATCAAGTTGCCAGAGCCAGGGGTGAAGAGAGGCTACAAAGGACCAGAATAGATGGTTCAAATATATTTGAACTCTCATACATATCCATAGCCAAGATGTCCCAGCTCACGTGCTTCGTCTCTGGTAACATCCAGTGTATCTACCCCATGAAGTGGAGCACAGTGCAGAGCTCCTGAAGCCAGCAGATGTTGGGCCATGGCCCAGCACTGCTCAGCCTTGCTGCCTGGGGCTGCAGCGGGGCTGCTGGGTTAGCACAGCCTTGCACCAGCTCCGGTTGCCTTCTCAGCAGAGCTGATTGTCTCTGCAGGACTGGGGAGAGATGTCCAAAGGTCAGTGTCTTCTCCATGTCTGTCCACATCCCAGGGGTGGATCTGTCTAGTTGTATGTGTGCATGCAAGCTATGCTGTCAATTCAGCCTCCCCTCTGGGATCATTTAGGGCAACAGTGTGCATGACTCCAGCAGAAATAGCTCCCAGTCCCAGTTCAGCACCGAACATCCCCCACCCCACCAGTGACGAGGCAAAAGAGAGGCACTCCCATAAGGAGAGGTTAAAATAGCCTCAGCAATGATGCAAATGACAAGGCTGAGGAAGGCTCAGTGAACTCAGACGGCTATGTTATAGATTCAATATGCAAATCTTCACAAAGTATCAAAGGAACCTTTCTCTTTTCTGCTGTGATATAAATATTTCATTGACTATTCTCTCACTGCTGGGTAGCTCTAATGACAGTTGCCTCCCTGAAGTCCTGAGCTGCTGTAAATCAAGTGCTGTTTTATACTACTCACCATGGTCGTGGGCAAATACAAACAAGTTAAGTCCTGTCAGCCTCTGGGCCAAGTCATCATAACGGCCGCAGTGTTCACCAGCACCATGCGCAATAAACACGAGGGCCCTAAACGGAGCATGAAGGTCGAAATCATTAACTTGGCAATCACCCCACAAAGGCTTCAGAGTTGCAAATAAAAACAGCATATTAAACTCAGCAACAGCAAGAACAAGTCAAATAAATAATTGTTGAGTTGGGTTTCAACAGGGGAGCGCAAGCTGCTGTCCTGATGTACCATCAACCTGCTTCACCGGGTGGTTTGGTAGTAGTAGGATATAGAGAAGTCAGATGCATGTGGGACAGACATTCTTTCCAATTTGTCTGCCACCCTGGTCTTCTGTAAGTGAAAGATGCAGCGAGGCATCAGCAACAGTCCTTGACCTGATTTCGGATGGGATTGGTATTTCTCATTTCAAACAAAAATGCTGTCCTTAACTTCCATTGGTGCTAGAGAGTCTTGCTAGAGATGAAATTTTAGCTAAAAAATAGTTTTTTAAAAGAAAGGCATAACTTTGGTTGGAGTTTGGAATTTTATCTTTTACTCTTCTAGTTTATACTGCAAAGTAGTTGTTTCGCTTTGTGACTCAAGTGACTTGTACATAACTACAGCACAACTATAGTCAAGGACCATAAAATGAGCCATCTAACAGACACTTCCTTTTGAAAGGCATTGGCAAATGTGCTTGCCTTTTTGAAAGGCAAAAATTGCCTTTTTGAAAGGCAGATGTGCACCTTCCAAGATTCCAGTTTTACCAATGGTGTTTAGTTTTCCCTGGGCTGTTATCAGATGAGTGTGATTAAAACCAAATGAAATGTCCCACTGTTTTACCAGGCAAAATTATAAAGAACCGTTATAGCAAAAGTAGCAAGGACACTACACGCTACATAAGTTTTATTGAATTTGACAGGTGACTTTTTGAAGTCCAGTGTTAGCAATGTCCACCTAACTTGATCATTTAAAAATACCATCTGTCATGAGAATATCAACAAGCACAAAACTGACTGAAGGCTGTGAGTAAAAGGATTTTCAGTTCATTAACAGTTAAACATTAAATGAGTTGACAGTGTAAAAGAATAACACTGATTTACAGCCAGTAAAATCCTCAACATTATTTTGATCAAGGTTTTGAATACATGCATAGACGGTGTAGTCACTGGAATAATCTGCTTTGATATTCATGTATTTAAACTTAAAAAAAAACGGATGATGTAGAAACTACTGCCCTAGTTCTTTGATTAGCACCTGCTTCAATGTATTTGCTGATGCTGGAAAACTTGAAAGAGCAGCCAACCAAACCAGAAGGATTTTAGAGAGCAAAAGCTAAAGCAGCAATGCAAAGACGCTCACTTTTCTGTCTAATACTAATTAGCAATGGTGAGGCTAGGTTATGTTCCAAATTTAACTTGCTGAGCCTAACAGATGCTTTTTAATGCACTAAAGGCTTCAACGTGCTTGGTGTAGAGCACTCATTTTTTCCCTTGTCATCTTCCCTTGTCAATAGATTTGGGAAACTATCAATTCACTTCCCAGACAGTCAGGATTTCACGGGATCTGCCAGACGTCCAGCTGGAGTGCAACATATATTATTAGAAATCCGAATACCGAAGAGATAGAGACACTGCTAAGACCATGGTAGAAACCCTAAACTTTCTGCAGCAGGGGCATCACTGCTGTGTGTATCCTACCTCTCCATGAGACATGCAGAAAGACTGCAGCTAGTTCTGGCTTAGTGACTCATTATTTCATATGTGACCCGTCCACGAGCTTCTGCCTCCACCCATACATAATGACCGGGGATCTCAGACCGGGTCCTGGGCGAGCTAAGGCACCGCAGCCTCCCAGCCTGGGGCTGCCAGGCGATCAGACCTGCTCGTGCGAGGGGCAGCGAAACGGGGCCGGGCCGTTAACCCGACCACCCTGCAGCCCTGCACGGAGCGACGCCGCGTGCCTGGGACTCGCATGCTGCACCGAAGGAAGGAAACGAGAGAGAAAATTCCCGTGTACTCATCGCTGGCACCAGCCAAAGCCGGCAGGCTACATCCCGCTGCCCACGCCTCCTATTAGCTGCCTTTTGACAGCTTTCCTGCTCAGTGCCTCGCTTAAGGTCTCTGTTACTCTTCAGAGACTCGGGATTTTTTTCTGCTGACTAGGCACAGAGTTTAAGGTGCAACTTGGCTGATTGAATGCAGCCCTTGATTTCTCAGAGAAATATTATTTGAATGCATGAACCGAAATGTATCAAGTGAATGAAACCTAATGGGAAGCTGGTAAAGAGAGCTGTGTCAGGAAATGCTTGCTGTTATTTCATCCCCCCTGACAGCAGAGGCCTAATTTTGCTTTCATTCACACTGAGGCTGCACCAGGATTTTGCCTGACAGCAGCCTGCAAGATGCTCAGCCCCCTCACCTGCTGTGAAACCACTGAGAAGAAGAAAAACTCAATGCTCCAGAGGCATAAGGTGACCCTGCAAACTCTCCTCAGGACTAGATCTCATTTACGGAAGGTGCTTGTCTGGCACTGTGGAACTGAGACTTTGGACACTATAGGAAAAAGACCTGGGTTATTATTTGCCTGCAAAACATCGAATAAAATTCATGAGAATGTTGGTTGCCTTAGAAGCCCTAATGCCAGTGACTGTCAGGAGGATTTAGATTTTTTGTCATACAAATAGGCTATGTTAGAAATAAGGGGTAAAATTACCATGTTGTTAAGTCCAAATGGAATTAGACTCTTTTTGCAGCTGTTGAGTAGAAAGTGTTAGTGGCTTTACTGACTAAAAATTAAGTCACCTCTATACAAGTCTCTAGGTCCAGCCTTAATGTGTAAGCAAACAGCCCATACATTAAACATATAGCCTTGAAAAGCTGAAATCCGTGTGAGCATCATCTGAGCAAGGACTGCAGGACTCAGCCTTCATGTAACCCTCCATTTTCTGTTATAAAACAAGCCTAGATTTGGCAAGCAGTACCTGAAGGCAGCCTAACAAATATATGGTGCACGTATTTTCACTAGCAAGCTGGCATGAAAATAGAGCAAAGGATTAGATTGACTGACAGCATTTCTTTACTGTATGTAAACATTTTTGCAGACACCCCTGCTCTCAAATCACAATGTGCTCTTTCCTATCGCAATGGCTGAAAAGGAAGAAATACAGAACAGAAAATCAGTGACTGTTTCCAATAGAAGGGTCTCTATGAGTCATTTAAATAAATACAGACACCCTGCAGGCCTTCGGATTCTGTAGGACCACAGTGCCTCTGTGCGTGACCTCAATGGGCGTTTTGTTTAAGCGAGGCCTGCATAGTTGGCCTTGCATGAAACTGATCCCGGGGAGAAATTTCTTCATCTCCAGCTTTTGTACCCACTGGCGAAGTCCTTGGAAACAGGCGTTGCAGGCAGAAAATGTCGTGTGCAGCCTGGTCTGTGCCTGACCCCAGGGATTTGGTGGAGCTGTAACCCAAGGAAGGGGAACCTGCCTGTATTTTGGATGCTGCAGGAGGCTCTGGCGGATGGAGCGCCGTAGCTGACCCTCTCCGTGAGGCGCTGCTTTGGCCTCCCTTCCAGAAGGGAGGCACCTCCCTGCACAGGGGCACCTTCTTGGAGTCCTCTGCTGAGCCTCCCCAGCTAACCCTTATTAACTAATGCAAGTAATAAATAGCGCTATTAAGGGAAATCCACTTATAACCCCTGTTTGCGAACCCAACAACTTCCCAGATCTCTGCCCTTTCAGTAGCCTCTTCCTCCTGCCTCCCTGCTGCAGGTTGCTACCTGCTGGCACCGCACACCCTGACAAACAGGGTTAATTAGCACAGGTTAATTAGCACAATATTTGATTAATTTTGCGGTTCAAATCCAGCCGTGGTTGTGGTTACCTGTCTCCCACAGGAGGTGATGGTGCATCCCAGCAGCCAGGCCCTGCTGCCACATCCCCCTGTGCCCGTCCTCACACGACTCGCGTGACTCCCACCTCCCTCTTTCCAGCTGCAAATGCACCCTGCTAAGTGAGGAAAAAAGTAAGGGCAAAATAGAGGTGCTGCAGGTGCCCTGGGTGCCAGGCACCCGCTGCCCTGCACGAGCCTCCTAGGAGTGACACAAGTCGGACTATGTAGGGGCGCCCAGTCTCCCTGCCCTGCTCAGAGACGTTCAGGTTAAGTTATGTTCACCCCTTCCACACTGGTCGCTGTACTGCACATTAATATATTACTTCTTCTGTACAGCTAGGGATTTAAGCTGGATGCTCCAGACGGGCAGGACACTGGTGCCTGGGCCAGCGGGGAGCAGCTCTTGCAGGGCAGGAGTTGGGGCCGAGGTGGGCCAGCAGAACTGCCCCTGCTGCTTCCCACCTTGCTTGCCGGCCAAGGGCTGCCACCTCTGCACCACAGTTCACGGTGCCAGTGCAACTCCTTATGGATTATTTCACCCACTCAGTTTATAATGCAGTTCTCCAATCACTTGCTACAGAAAAACTGAGGGGGAAATAAACTGCAGCACAGAACTCACAGAAATTAACAGGCCCTTTGAAATCAGGCCCTCGTCATTAGAAAAAAAATTACTTGTTTCGGAAACGACATCAAAGAGCTGGTATGTTATGAAATCTGGCAGGCCAAAAATAAAATTCAGGGCTTGGACTCTGCTCGCACATAAGACATATATTCTTGTTTTACTTTATTAATTGAGACAGGGCCACGAAAGTCATGTTAGAACTGAGCAAGAGAAGGGAAGTTGTGAGTGGGATGATACAGTTTCAACAACCCGAGTCCTCCATGGCCAGAGGCACTTCTCAAAAACCCTACGCGTGCTCTTTTATCACCAGAAAAAAAACGGAAGCCCTGTGCTTCGAACAAAGAACTGAAGAAAAGATTTCTGTGACTGCATATACAAAAAATTCAATCTCTTCCACCCCATTCAAAAGCATCTCTCTTCAGAAGAATATTTAAGTTTTCGCTTAATGTCACGAAACTCCCTTAGAATCAGGACATTCACCAGGGCTTCTGAAACACGAGATTAAAGCTAAGGATGTAAATGCTGCCTTAAGTAAGGGCTGACTGAATCACATGCAAAAGTG